AGTAGTAGTAGTAGTAGTAGTCGTGGTAGTAGTAGTAGTAGTAGTAGTAATAGTATTAGTATTAGTATTAGTAGTAGTAGTAGTAGTTGTTGTTGTTGTTGTAGTCGTAGTCGTAGTCGCAGTAGTAGTAGTAGTAGTAGTAGTAGTAGTAGTAGTAGTAGTCGTAGTAGTAGTAGTAACAATAATAGTAGTAGTAGTAGCGGCAGTAGTAGTAGCAGTAGTAGTAGTAGTAGGAGTAGTCGTAGATGTAGTTGTTGTTGTAGTAGTTGTAGTAGTAGTAGTAGCAGCAGCAGCAGCAGTAGTAGTAGTAGTAGCCATAACTGCCATTCATAAAACTATGACCATGAATATTCATATGAGTTCCTTTACTACGTATCACTAGCATGAGTATCAGCACTGCTACTAATATTGTGTGTGGCTTCATGTGTCGTAGTAGTGAGGTTAGTCATATGATCAGTGTTGCTAGAAGTATTAGTCGTGGTAAAGTCGTGGGGGTACTTTTTTCAGTTTATCGATAATCATCCTAACCATTGCCTATTTAATGTTACTGTTGGTATTATGCTTACTACTAGTACTCGTGATCGCGTTTTTGTGTTTAGCTCGAGTAGCCTTACTAGCACTAGTTATATTACTATCCTTCGCATTCTTTATACTAGCATACGTAGTATGATTCGTATTCGTCTTCTTATGCTTATCAATAGCACTATTCTTACGATTTCCAGGCGTATTCGTACAATTGGTTTTAATCGTAATTTTAATAGCACGATCAATAGTATTAGTAATATCACAACTCATCTCGCTATTTTGTAATATATATATATATATATATGTATGTGTGTGTTGCTATTATGATTATCAGTCGTATTCTTTTCTTGTTAATACTAGTGTGATTATTATTCGCAGCATTCCTATTATTATAATCATTGTTCCTCCTCCTCATCATCATCATCCTCCTGCTAATCGCGGCCCTCTTGGCGGCGACCCCACCCGCTGGCAGCGCCCGGGGGATTCGCTGGGGCCTGGGCGATCGCCCCACCGGCCAGCCCCCGCAGCGCACGGGGAGCCTCAGTCCGGCGTGGCCTGGCGCCGCGGGTGGGTGGGGCGGGGGCCACGGCAAGGAGGAGGAGGAGAAGGAGGAGGAGAAGGAACAGGAAGGGAAGCAGGAGGAGGCCCAGACCTCCTAGGGCAATGACAAAATTATGACCGGAGGTGTTTCGCTATTTTCGGTCTCCAGAGACCCTCGGGCCCGTCAAGAAACAACGGGATGAAAATCACATCCAAGGGAATGGGTCGAGGCCTCTACGATATCAAGAAATTATGACGTCGGGGGTCCAGGGGGTGAAGGGCAATCTGGGTAGAAACCTTTTTGGTTGGCACACACCCTGGTTTCGATTTTTGTTCGTGGGTGTTCGAGCGCTGCCTCATTGCAGCCTGCCCTCAGGAGCGGGGCCTCGTTGGCCCCGCTGGCGTCGGCCACGGCAAGGACGAATGGAGGGGGAGGCGCCATCCGATTACACTGCGCGAGGACCTTCCGAAATGCTGCACATGGCAAAGGTGCCTTAGGCATGTTCGGTCGCATAGGGTGTGCTTCAGCGGGCAATTGCAGAGAGCTTGGAAACGTTGCTGAATATTTTGCACAGCTCAGCGATTTGCGGACCTCTTCCAGGTTAGAGCCGAAGAGGAAGACGAGGAGAAGGAGGACGAGGAGGAGGGCGGGAGGAAAGTGAAGGAGGGCGGAGGAGGAGGAGGAGAGTGAGGAGAAAGGGGAACTACTACGACTACATACTACTACGACTACTACTACTACGACTACTACTACTACTACTACTACTACTACTACTACTACTACTACTACTACTACTACTACTACTACTAATACTACTACTACTACTACTACTACACTACTACTACCTACTACTCTACAACTCTACTACTATACTACGACTACTACTACTACTACTACTACTACTACTACTACTAACTACTACTACTACTACAAATTACCTACTACTACTACTACTACTACTACTGAAACTACTACTACTACCTACTACTACTACTACGTACCACTTCTTCTTCTTCTTCTACTTACTACCACTACTACTACTAATACACTACTACTACTACTACTATACCACCACTTTCACTACTACTATCACTACACTACTACTACTACTACTACTACTACTACTATCTACTACGACTACTACTACTTCTCACTTCTACTACTACTACTACTGCGCTAACCTACTACTCCTACTACTACACTACTACTACTAACTACTACTATCACTACGACTACGACTACGACTACTACTAACTACTACTAACTACTACTACACTACCACTACTACGACTAACTACTACTACTACACTACTAACTTCTACTACTACTACTACTACTACTAACGACTACTACTACTGCTTACTACTACTAAACTATACTACTACTACTACTACTATCACTACTACTACTACTACTCTACGACTACGACTACGACTA